AAACTACCCTTAACAGAATCTGAACTGGTTTTCTTGGTCTTGTCTCCTTTCAACCTACACTCCAGGAAGCAGCCCTAGTGATCTTTCTAAAATGCAAATTATTCTGGTTAGAGATCATAGCTGCTTCTCTTATTTCACAACCTTCCTCCCTGTTCCCTCCCAACTTAGTCAGGTTAGATGCTCTTAAAATGTTTCCTTACACTCCTTTTCTTTCCTTACTATAACACTTTTCATACTTCTTTTATTATAATTGTTTATCTTTTCTGCTAGATGGGGAATCTTGTCTATCTTACCTTGTCTATCTAACACAGGGTAGGACCTAAGAAATTGTAAGTGCTTTATAAATATTAAGTGAATTAACTAATACTTTTGTCATCTCTCCCATCCCACATAGTATCTGGCAAATAACAGGTCCTTGATAACATTTACGAATAGATTGTTGCCGAACTAAGGATATGTGATGAAGCAATGTGTAACAAGCAAAATTAATACTGTGTAGGCTTTATCTTTAAAGAATACATATCCACTGAAACCGGTTTGGCTCAATGGATAGAGCGTCGGCTTGGGGACTGAAGGGTCCCGGGTTCGATTCTGGTAAAGGGCATGTACCTTGCTTGCGGACATATCCCAGTAGGGGGTGTGCAAAAGGCAGTAGATCAATCACTCTCTCTCATTGATGTTTCTAACTCTCTATCTCTCTCCCTTCCTCTCTACAAAATCAATAAAATATATATTTTTAAAAATAAATAAATAAAAAACAAAGAGTGCATATCCTTCTTAATTAGACTTAAGCAAAGATGGCTGCCTAGAACAGGTGGCTTTGGAAAGAGAAAGGAATAAAGTTTCTTATTAAGTGGGATGTAAAGGGCAAATGTAAAAATGTCAACAACTGTGCAGAAGAAAACCAAGTTTTTAGGATATGGGTAAATCCTAGTTAAAATTTGCTGTGACTAGACTAGGAAGTATTCCATACTGGAATCTACTAGCTTTCTTCTTTATCTTGAATACTGGAATTCAGTTAGGAATCAGTTGCTGAATGTAATTACTGCCAACAATTAAGCACTAAACTGAAATGTCTCTCTGAAATTGGAAATAATCTTTCCACTACAGAAAATAAGATTCTCGCCAAGTTATATATTTATAGAATTAATTTTCCGTTTAATTTTTATATCATCACCTAGATGAAATTTCTAGTTATTTTTGGCCTGCACTATGATAATGTACACCATGGGTGAGGTATGTCTGGCCCCGGGGCCATTTAAAGCCCAAGAAATCATTTGGTTTGGTTCTGCTGAGGCATTAGGGGTGAGTTAATTAACTACTTGACCAACTATAGCAGGCTAATTTTTAAGTTGATAATTTTGTATGGCCCATGAATGATGTTATAAATATCTAAATGGCCCTTGGCAGAAAAAGTTTCCTCACTCCTGATATATAGTAACATACAATGGCCATCCTGTTTTCTTTGCTCTAAAAGTTTTTTTGTGCACTATTCCTTGAACATGAATTTCATGTTCTAACTTTACTTAGATGAAAAAAGTGTTAATTTCATGAATGGTTTAATATATCATCATTGATTACTTAAATACGTTAATTAGCAATATGTGGACTGGGGTATTAGTTTAAAAATCTTGTTGGGAGAGTGAACATGATAAATAAGATGGCTACAAAAATCTTCTCTCATAGATACCTTACCAAGGAAAGGAGAAATTTAGATTCCAAATTTTAAAAGGAATTTTCAGTGTCAGTTACACTGAAAAAAGGTGAAGGATCTGAATTCAAGTGTGTGCCTAGCTTACTTTACTATCTTACTTTTGAATTGATATAAAATTTGTGACTTTTAATCTGGGGCTCATCAATTATTTTATTTTATTTTTAAAAATATATTTTATTGATTTTTTACAGAGAGGAGGAGAGAGGGATAGAGAGCTAGAAACATTGATGAGAGAGAAACATTGACCAGCTGCCTCTTGCACACCCCCTACTGGGGATGTGCCCGCAACCAATGTACGTGCCCTTGACCGGAATCTAACCTGGGACCTTTCAGTCCACAGGCCAACACTCTACCACTCAGCCAAACCGATTTCGGCTCCATCAATTATTACTGGTTTATTATAATGGGTTTGGTTAAAATTGTGACATAATCACAAGTCAGAAATATATGATTTAGACACCCTATTTTACAGAAAGTGCTTTACATTTTTATTTTATTTTACCCTGATATACAGTGGGCTGATAAATTAATGAGAAAGTTCATAGAAGTCAAACATGAAAATCATTCTGATTATTTTATTAGCCACAACTCATTTTTTTAAACTTAGGGTTAAAGATAAGCTTCAGCCCTAGCTGGTTTGGCTCAGTAGATAAGGCATCAGCCTGTGGACAGAAGGTTTGATTCTAGTGAAGGGTACATGCTTGGGTAGTGAGTCAGTGGTGGGCATGCTGGAGGCAGCCCATCAATGATTCTCTCATCACTGATGGTTCTATCTCTCTCTCCCTTCCTCTCTGAAATCAACAACAACAAAAAATATATAAATCAAGATAAGCTTCATTTCACAAGTCTCATTGTTTTAATAGAATGCAAAATTTCCAGACTTGGGAAATATATCCAAATATTAATTTTTGCAAGGCAATTTAGTTTCCAAAGAACTTTCTCATTATATCAGAGAAATTAATAATGATGTGATTAGGCTAATTAAGCAGGTACTTGTTAAGTAATTGAAAGGTAATCTATTTCTAATTTAACAGGTCAATCAAGGGTATTTAGGAAATATTTTTTGCTAATTAACAACTCTAAAAAATATATTTAATTTGCTTCCCTAGTGGCAAACAATAAGCGTGCATTGATCTTTTATGAGACAGTTGTTTCAAAGAATTAAATTAGGACCATTTTGATGATTTAAGAGGTTTGGTGAGAATTCTGAGCTCTTCCCTTCCAATGCTAACGCAAGCCTTATATTACTGTTTATTTTGGCACTTCAGAATCAAAGAAAACATCTAAGAAAGTAATTTGAAGGCACAGAGAAGTCAGAGAAACAGTCCTTTTCTTGTGGGAAGCTACACACTTTGGTATTATCAGACAGTAAACCAAAATCTAACTCAACAGTCAAAACATGATTCTTTAAGTGCATCACCATACAAAGAAATGGTCTTAAAATATTTTCCAGGTGTGCAGCTCAAATTTTTCTCATCTGCAGTGTTACCAACTAGAAGCTGCTTTCTCCTAACTTTGGGTAGCCTAGGCTCTGCCTCAAGATTACCAAGTGGTTTAAAATCACATCTCTCTTGCTCCCGGTTTTCTGGCGAAAGACGTAATTTCCAGTATTAACAAAAAAAAAACATTGAAACCTGTGAAGAATTTTTTTGTGAGTTTATTTGAGCCTTACTGTTGACACAAGCCGGGAAGCAGAACCTCAAGGGATTGAGATAATGCTCCGGAGAATGGCGGGTTACATTTCTATATTTATACATTGCAATCAAAGGAAAGGGAGTTACATGAAATTCATTGGTGATAGGTTAGGAAGGTGGGACAAAGAAAGCGGGAAACCTCTGGGATAGGGTATAAGGTTAAATGATGGACATGAGCTTCTTTCACTGTTAATTACGTTAGAGGATACAGGACAATTAACTTGATAGCAATAACAATGAGGAATGTCTCAAGGGGTCCAGGGTAAAAAGAAAGTTACAAGTTACCCAGACATCTCACAGATATGTTATCTTAGATGCTGTAAGGCAGAGGGGTTCAGTAAAAGATCAAAGTTGATCTTTGTCAGGTGAAATATCTGGGACATGACTACCTACCATAACCTGTTAGATATTTAATTTTCAAACCATCTTTTGTGGTTATCCTAGGTCTCTGGGTTTGCAAGACTGCCACGCAGGCCTTCCCTGAGCTTGTCAGGTTAGCATGTGGCTCTTTTCTTTCACACCAGGTACAAAAATGAGAACTGCAGGCAAAGACAGGTAAAAGGTTTCAGTTACAGAGGATTAACCCTGGAGTGAGGGGGCTTAGCCCGGACCTCCGCACGAGCTGCAGGAACAGACACCCGGCACCTTTGTTTGTCTGGCTTCCTTGGCCTGGGCCCAGTGACATCGGCGACACCGTCCGGGCCGGGCCAGAGCCGCACGGCGGCCCCCTTCCACGGGAGCCGCGCCAGGTCCCAGCCGGAGTCCAGCGGCTCGCTATTGTTTTTGGCGAGCACATAAATCGCTGCTACGACCTTCGCACATCCAGGTTTCCTCCCGGAGGCCAATCGGTTTCCTTTGAGGCCCTATTTAGAGGCCCCGGGCCGGGGCTGCGGAGAGGTGCGCGTCCGCTCCAGCCTCCAGGACAAGTCCGGGCTCGCAGAGCTTCATGCCTTCGGGTCTCCACACTCGGTGGCGTCCGGAAGGTGAGCGGGAGGAATTTCTTCCCGGGGCGGAGGGGCTGCGACCTATCCCACGTGAGGAGGAGGAGGATCCGCTTCTCCGGGGTTTCCCTGACGCCAGCAGCAGCAGCGCTGGCGCGACCGGCGCCAGTCCGCAGCTCCGGGAGGGGGGAGGGAGCGGGCAGCCGGGCGGCCGCTGGGATTGGAGCGGGCGGGCTGCGCCGAGCCGAGGGGTGCGGGCGAGGTAGGCGCGCTGCGCGTGCGCCGGGTGTGCGCCCCGGGCCCCAGCCATCACCCCCGCTCCGCGGTCTCCGCCTACTTCGCCTGGTGTGTGGATCCGGAATCCGCAGCGGTTGGCGGCGCCTGGGACTTGGAGACCGATAGCCTCCCATCCCCCGGCCCGGAACGTACTGACTGCCCCTCGCTCTCCTCCCTCTCTCCCCGGCTGCAGGAGGGAGGTGCCCCCGAGTCTCCCCTCCCGCGAGAGGGGCCGCGCGAGCCGGGCTGGAGCTGCGGCGGCCGCCGCGGGAGGCGAGCCTGCAGCGAGGGACCGGCTGAGGCGCGCGGGAGAGAAGGAAGCAAGGGCTCCGCGGCGCCGCAGCCGCCGCTGCCGCGGCCGCTCGCGGCCCAGAGATGGCGGCGGAACGGAGAGCTCGGCGACTCCTCAGCACCGCCTCCTTTTGGCTCTGTTGCCTGCTGCTGCTCGGGCGCCGAGCGCCGGGCGCCAAGGCCGCCAGGAGCGGTTCCCCGCCGCAGTCCCCAGGTAAGCGGCGGGCGGGGGTTGGGTTGGGGTGGGGGCGGGGGCGCCGCACCGATTGCGGTTGCGGTGTTTTTGTTTAGGACCCAGGAGGAAACGTGCAGGAACTTCTCTGCCTGGTTTGGCTAGCCGAAGAGAAAGCGGATCGCACGGGGTGGGGAGTGAAGTAGGCAGGCGGGGGGCGCCAGGGATGCGTCCGGGGTTCCTGGGTCTAGGTCTGCGCTTTGTACCGGGAGGCAGGTTCACCCCTTCCCTCCCTCCCCACCATCCCCTCCCCCAAGCTCATCCCACTTGTAAGAGTGGGACATTCTTGTGCTCACACAAGCACCAGTAGAGGCCACTACACACCTCATTTAATGAACAATCCTATGGCCAATTCATTAATTTTCATGAAAGGAAGGGGGGCGGGATTGAACTCCGCCTCCCCCGGCCTGGGATTACCCAGTTGAAGTCCTAGGGAAGCGCTGGTTGATCTCTAGGGGACTCATCGTGGGGAGTTGCAGCCCCAAGGCTGTGGAAGAAAGTGTCAGAGCAGCACAAGTACTCCCTCATAACCACGGTGAGACTTAGTGATGAGGGCGCCTAGGAGAAGGGCTTGAAGTAATTATTATAATATCTGTTAGTGTTTCCGTTATGAAAAGCTTCCTGGGGATTACAACTATATTAATGGCCTAATTACTTTTAACCTAGGGAATTGTCCAAGCTTCGGATTTTAAGTACTTGTACGTTGTTTTCAAGTGGCAATATATAAATACATTTGTCAAAAACCATCTCCAAGGTTTTAATATATCACAGATTATTGAAATTACCTGCATTCCTATTTATTTATTTATTTATTTATTTATTTATTTATTTATTTATTTTTGGGTGGAGGCAATTAACAGAACGCCAAACCTGCCTATAAAGACCTTAATAGGACACACAACATTTGAAGGGCAAACTAGTACCGCGTTTCCCCGAAAATAAGACATCCTCCGAAAATAAGACCTAGCGCAACTTTGGGAGAAAATAATTAATCTAAGACACTGTCTTATTTTCGGGGAAACAGGGTATGTAATCTGTTTAAATTATTTGACCAGGTGGTATATCATTAAACCTCACAAAACTTTCACCTACCTGCTTGATCTAAAGTTTTGCATTTGCAAGTCATCAAGTACAGTGATAACTTATAGTCACTAAACCATTACTTCCTTCTACCACCATTTATGTGATATATTTAAAATCACACTACAATAAAGTTGGCTGATAAACTTTCTTTTGATTTTCTTGAAGAAATAACCTAGCTTGTGGCTTTTTGCCATTGTTAAAAGCTTGAACCCACTAAAGCACCAATGGGTATTATCTAAACAGCTATGTAAACAACAGTTGTTTTAGCATTAAACTTGCATTTGCACATTTGGCCTATACATGGTTTAGAATATACTAGTACATTTTGGCCCTGAAGTGTAGATGTGACTAAATCAAACCCTTTCCATTCTGTGGATGGCAAGACAAGTTCTCTCATACTCTTTTTTTTTTTTTTTAAAGGTACATTTTAAATATATATATTATTGATTTTTTACAGAGAGGAAGAGAGTGATAGAGAGTTAGAAACATTGATGAGAGAGAAACATCGATTAGCTGCCTCCTGCACACCCCCTACTGGGATGTGCCCGAAACCAAGGTACATGCCCTAGACCAGAATCGAATCTGGGACCTTTCAGTCCGCAGGCAGACGCTGTATCCACTGAGCCAAACCGGTTTTGGCAAGTTCTCTCTTACTCTTAATTTTATATGTAAAACATTATATGTAGTTCATATTATGTATCTTTTAGGTAATTGGAATTTCTGTTAAAAATTTTGTCAGTAATTTTGAGATAAAGTACTAGTGATTTTGTTACTTAGATTAATAAAAATAATAAGCAGTCTTTTAGGAAGTGGTCATAACATCTATTTCATCATTGATTCAATTATGTGCACTCTGCCTTTATGGAGCTTACAGTCTGGTGTGTGGGTAGGAAAGATAGCCATTCAACTGCTAATTATATAATTAAGAAGTGTGATAAGTATTGCAAAGGAGAATAATAGGTTTTGAGCAAGTTTATATTGCAGGAACCTAACCTAGTCTGGGTGTCTCTTTGTCTCAGAAGAGAGTTTTGAGGGGGTAAGTTGGAGTGGAGATGGGGAGGTCTGTAGTTAATTAATAGTCCAGAGTTTTCCACAAATCTGCCTAGTTACAAAAGCTAAAGGAGTAACTGCAATAAGGAGGGGCTTGGTCAGGTCTCTGGTAAATTGCAGAGAGATCAAGGAAATTAAGAACTGAGTAAGCCACATATGCAACAAGCTGACAGTAAATCAGATGTCATTTGTCAGTGATTTTTATTTATTTTTTTGTAGAGGAGCAGGTTACTGAAAAGATATTTGGGACCTAGGGAAAGATGATAAGATAGAGCAGCATGTGTTATTAGGTTTTGTCTAATCAGCGAAGGGTTTAAGAAATGGTAATGAGGTGCAATTGGGATACAGGCTTGGAGAAGGTTAGGAAGATAATGTTAAGAATTCATTTGAAATCAATTTGAATTTTAAGTAGATTAGATCAGCTGTTTCTACACTTTCTGCAGCAATATTTTATATTCCAAGAGCAGAATTAGTGAAAAGTTTTAATCCAGTATTGGTTGCTTATGAGTTAAATGGGAAGTATGTTGGAAATTTTAAAAAACTTATTGAATAACCAAATACCCCATTCATTGGTTAGATTGCAAAAGAATATTTGAGGAAATGTCATAATGGTGTTGAGGCTAGCTATGAGGTGTACTGCATAGGTCATATAGCTATACTTCTCATTTAAGGTAAGAATTCTCATGTCAGGAGCCTGTGTAGATAACTCTATTTGCCTTCGTAATCTACATGAAGATGTGATTCATTACCTCACAATGTAATCTATTTCTGTTTTGAATAACTTCTGTTGGTAAACTTTGCTTTATGCAGTAGATTTAATTTTTATTTTCACCTGCCCCACCCTTCTTGAATTTTTTCTTTTGTCTATTTTGGCATCACCTTATCTCCTGATTCATTTCTTACTTCTCTGATCAGTTCTTCACTTGTTTTTAAGGTTTTTCTTTTATCCCCTCATTAAATATTGGTATCTAAAGTTGATCTCATTGTACTACTTGTCTTCAGTTGCTCCCTGTGAGCTAATGACTCCCTTAGTCTTCTCTTTTTTACATGCCACTAGTAACTAATTGAATAGACACATTACATTACACAAGACCAAAGCTAAATTGATCTTTGATCTTCTTCCTTTCTGCTTCCTTTATCACTTTCCCCCCCCAGACTATAACAAACCAATTCCTGGTCCAGGGTGCTTACATTGTTTGAATGATTTGCATAGATTTGTCTTCCTGTATTACCTGTATTGAACATCACTGTTCACCAGCCAAGCAAGAATTCATCCTGGGCCCTCTTCTTTCCTTCATTCCCATATCCCTGTGGTCGGCAAACAGCTGCTCGAGAGCCACATTCTGCTCTTTAGCCCCTTGAGTGTGGCTCTTCCACAAAATACCACGGCCTGGGCAAGTCTATTTTGAAGAAATGGTGTTAGAAGAAGTTTTAGGTTTAAAAAATTTGGCTCTCAAAATAAATTTCAGTCGTTGTACTGTTGATATTTGGCTCTGTTGACTAATGAGTTTGCCAACCACTGTCATAACCAATATTTGGTTTTCATTTATTTTTTTGTGGAGGAGCAGATTACTGAAAGATATATGGGACCTAGGAAAAGATGACAGGACAAAGATGAAATATCTATTTGATTTTTACCTCCTAAATATTTTTTTGAATCTGAATCTATATATTTTCATCATTATTTTCACCTGTACTAATAATATTAGCTTTCTAATTAACCTTTTTATCTTCACTGTTATCATTTAGAAGTCTGACCTCCTTCTGCAATATTTATTTCTTCTTATATATTTTTTCTGAGCATGCCACACCTACTTACAATTTCTTATTAGAGTTCCATAGCTTCACTGTTAGAGCCTAAATTTCTTGGCATGGAGATTGTGAGACCCTTTGTGTTCTTTACCACTGGCCTTCCCCATTCCCAATTTAAAGCCTCGTGGCTAAGCACCTCTAATGCGTACCTGGTGTTCCACTATTCTGGATTATAATTGCAGAACTTCATGTCTCCATGCTGCTCTTTCTTCCTGTTAATGCCACTCCCCACCTTGTCCACTTCTGAAACTCCTCATTTAGTGATTGAACTTTTCTCTACTAGCTTGCTCCCTCAAAGAATTAGTCATTATTCTCTTTTCATCTTGTGTTAATACTTTCCTTAAATACTAATTTGAACTTCTTGAGAATTTGAACTCTTTTTTTTTAAAATCTTTATTGCTCAGATTATTACAATTGTTTCTCCCCCCCCCCCCCATAGTTCCCTTCCACCTGGTTCCCGCCCAACACTCTGTCCCATCGTCCTCATCCATAGGTGTACGATTTTAATCCTGCACCCCCCAAACCCCTTTCCCCTTGATAATTATCACTCCACTCCCTTTCTTTGCCCCTGATTCTAGTATAGTCACCAGTTTATTTTGTTCCTCAGATTTTTATTTCACTTGATTTTTAGATTCACTTGTTGATATATATATATATATATATATATATATATATATATATATATATAATAATTTTTATCTTTTTTTTTTCTTTTTTTTTTTTTCTTTTTTTTTTCTTTTTTCTGTTCTTAAAGAATTCCTTTCAGCATTTCATATAATACTGGTTTGGTGGTGATGAACTCCTTTAACTTTTTCTTACCTGTGAAGCTCTTTATCTGCCCTTCAATTCTGAATTATAACTTTGCTGGATACAGTAATCTTGGTTGCCACTCCCATCTGGCCTGCATAATTTCTGTTGATAAATCAGCTGACAATCGTATGGGTGCTCCCTTATAGGTAACCAACTGCTTTTCTCTTGCTGCTTGTAAGATCCTCTCTTTGTCTTTTGCCCTTGGCATTTTAATTATGATGTGTCTT